GTTTCAATTTTGGACTTTCCAATTCCTAAAGGCAGGCCAAGATATCTAGTGGAGGATTGTGTTTTAATACAAAGCAGAGTGGAACAAATTTGAGATTGGGTCTAAGTAGAGGTGTTTTTGCTGAAGAATATGGTAGATTTGTCAAGGTTGACTTTCTGGCAGTGAGGCTTTTATACTCATTGAGGATGTCCAGTATGATTAAGGCTTGAGAGTTGTTGGCTTTTGTGAAAATGATGGTGTCATCTGCAAACAAGAGGTGAGCTGAGAGAGGACCATTTTTACAGATTCTTATCCCCTTCAATCTGCCTCTATCCTTTTCCATGTTATTCAAATGAGACAAAAATTCTGAAATCTGAATAAAGATGTAGGGGAACAGTGGGTCCCCCTGTCTTATGCCTCTAGAGGGCTTAATATAACCCGACACAGACCCATTCAAAGTTAAGGAAAAGGAAGATGAGACAATGCAGGCCATGATTCACTTCACAAATTTAGCATGAAAGCCTAGTCTAGAAAGGATGAGTCTAATGCTATCCCATTCTACCCTGTCAAAAGCTTTAGCCATATAACATTTTTTACCCCCTCTGTGCCTGTTTAAGAAATGAATGACCTCATGGGCTATGATAATGTTGTCAAGATGTTTTCTATCAGAGACAAAGACAGACTTAGATTCACTGATGCATAAATGCAGACAATTTTTCAATCTGTTTGCAAGGATTTTGGCAATAATCTTGTAGATGACACCATACAAGCTAATAGGTCTATAATGGGAGAACGACTCAGGATTAAGAAATTTGGGAATGAGGGTGATCAGAGAATGATTTAGATTAGTAAGAATTTGCGCAGAATAAAAAAAGTTTAATACAGATTTACAAATATCAGTGCCAACAATGGACCAAAAGAACTGAAAGAATAGAGATGTCATGCCATCCTTTCATGCCATCCATACATGGTGTTTTCCTGGGGTTGATGTGAAAGAGAGCATCCTTGATTTCAGCAACCTCAATCTCAGACACTAGATCACTGTTCACATCCTTTGGAATTTTTGACTGGAAGCTGAGAAGAGTAGTGGAGTGAGCCACAGATCCTTCGAAGTGAAAATAGCTTTAAAGGATTCTTCAATATGTGTGACAATGTCCTCAGAAGAGGAAGCAAAAGTTCCATCATTCTTCAACAGCCTAGCAATGTAGTTAGATTTCCTCCTTTGAAGGGTTTGAGCATGAAAAAACTTAGAGTTTTTGTCACCATATTTGAGCCAATGGTTCCTCGATTTCTGCTCCCAATGCTGCTCCTCACATTTGTAAGCTTCATCCAATTCTTTCTTAGCAATATCCCACAGAGACCAGTCAATAAGATTGCCAGATTCTTTCATCTCAGAGAGAACTTTGTTGAGCTTATCAATTTTTTTGGCATTTTTAGATTTAAAAGTACTACTCCATTTAAGAAGCTCAATCCTTGTCTGCTTGATTTTGGAGTGCAACTTGAACATAGGGGTTCCCTGCTGAGGCTCATTCCAAGACTTGTTGACAACCTCAGAGATGCCTTGTCTAGTGATCCATCTTTTGTCAAAGAAGAATCTTTGAATTTTGTGCTGGGAGTCAGAAGAAGTGATTAAAGTCAGGAGATAATGATCTGAAGAACTTCTATGGGTATTGAGCACTCTTGACCTAGGGTATGATGCCAGCCAATCCAGAGAAGTAAAAACTCTATCAAGTCTTTCCTCAACGTATCCCTCATCTCTTCTGTTGTTTCCCAAGGTGAAAGCGTGCTCCATCAAATCTAATTCTTGCATCTCTATATGGATGATGATATCTCTGAAAGCTGAAAGAGAAGATTCTAGTCTAGGATTTCCTCTAAATTTGTCTCTCTGGCTGATCAAAGCATTCCAATCACCCCCAATGAACTAGTGATTGCCCCATTTGGCCTTTGCTGATATGAGCTAGTCCCATTGCTCAATTCTCAGATGGCTATCAATACTCCCATAGATGAAAATACCCCAAGAAGAAGCAGCTCTATCTACATTTCAGAATTGCACTTCAAAACAGAAAGAATGCTTGATGATTTGAATAATCTGAACAGATCTGTTCCATATAAGCAGTAATCCCCACTTTTCCCAACTGGATCAATAGAGCTCTAATTACTACCTACACCAAGGTTTCTGCGAACAATATCAATAAATTTTTCTTTTTTTTTTGTTTCTAATAAAAAAGCCAAAACTGGGTGGTGGAGTCTCCAAGGCTCCTTGAGCTGGGAGACTATCGATGGCTCACCCAGCCCTTTACAGTTCTAAAAGATGATTGTTGGGGGTAGGGCCATTTAGGGCTGGCCTCCCGCACCTCATCTGTTTTGGTTTTCTGCTTCTTGGCAATATTGGATTCTTGGCTTTGATTATTTCCATTGCCTGAATCCTTGATAGCTTCCTCATAATCAGGAGAGTTGTCAATGGTGTTAAGAGCTCTTTTTTTGCTGACCATTCTCTGGGCTTGGTGATCATGTTATAATTGGGATGGAGGGGAGTTTATCCTTGTCCAACCTCTGGGTTTAGGCTCTAAAAGAGTTTTGGAAGAACCAGGTGATTTAATAGAGGATTGATGAGGGGGGCTGAGAACAGGTTGAGAGAGAGTATAAAATGGTTCAGTGTCCATTCCAGAAGGAGAGAGAGCATAGGTTAAGGGAACTGAATGCAAGTTTTCATGGGGCTCAGTGTTGGTATGGGCCATGGCTTCTTGGTTAACTGACTTTATGGTGAGAGCATCTTCTGGATGAATGTTGGTTGATTGATGGTCTATTTGTGACAGAGGTAAGGGGTTAGTAGAAGGAGTGCTAGGGGGAGGACTAGGGGAATAATTGATAGGCTGTTTAGGGGTAGAGGGGGTAGAGGTAGTAATGATAGGCTGCATTTTGGTATGAGAATCTGGATTTTGTATGTGGCTAGTGAAACTGGTTAAAGGGGAAGCTGGTATAGAGGAGGAAGTTGGACCAATTATAAAGGAGGAGCTTTCAGTGGCTTTAAGCCATTCACCATAATTACCTTCAAATATGGTAGAGGAAGCAATGTCTGCAGCTCTCTTGGTGCAATTTTGTCAAGATGTCCTAAGATGCCGTAATAGAAGCAAAGGCCAAACAGCTTTTCATATTTAAATTCTACCATTATCTTTTTATGCCCAAGTTGGAGGTTTGCACATCTAGGTACGGGCAAACTAAGATTAATAATGACTAAAAGGTGCAAGCATTTCCCATCAAGTGAGCCCCCCCTGAGGTATTTGCACATCTTTAACTTGTTTGAAGGCTCTGCCCACTTTCATACCTACATCGGTTGAGATCCAATTGAGAGGAATTTTCCAAGCCTGGTCCCAGTTATCCATTTCTGAGAAGTCTGGGTGATTTGCGTGCAAGTCTTCCTTCCAGTCTTTCAACACCAGATACTGATTTTCAAATGACCAGCAGTTTCCTTTCGACACTTTCTTCTTATCATCTATTTCAGCAAACAAAAACTGAAAATAATTGGGCTCTAACTCTTTGACCGTAACCCCTGCTTTGATTTTTCAGATATGTGCTAGAGTTCTTTTGAGCCCCAGCAGGTAAGCATGTTAAGAGCCAATAATTTTTCCCAATAGACTACGGTTGCATTCATCCGAACTACTTTGGATGTCTTTATGCGCAATTGGGATAATCTCTGCTTCTATTTTGAGAGAGAAAAGGACTTGAGCTTCCCAGATATTTCTTCTTCCATTGGTGAACAGTGATAAGTGAAAAAGTTGAGGTAGAGGATCAAGAAGCACTCCTGCACAATTAAGAGAACACCAGAAAGACAGACTGAGAAAACCCTAACTAAAAGGGGAAAGAAAAAAGAAAGGGTAAAAGGAAAAGACCAAAACTAAAGCGGGGAAAGAAGAGACAAAACCAATCAGCTAGATAATAAATGCAAGAAGATCAGTAAATGCGAGAAGATCAGTAAATGCGAAGTGAATCTAAGCCTGCAAATGAGGAAATCCAGCTTCCAAAGAGGTAAAATCGCACCCTCATAGAGAGAGAATATCAAAGCCATGAAAAGAATAATGTGTTTCTTGTGTATGTACAGTTCTGAATTTGCATTAATGCACCATATTGCTACCGCAACAGTGACTGTGACTGCAATAAGGACAATAAATAAAGGAAAACACCAACCTAAGCATGAATCTAACAATATATGAACACAAGCATACCACGAATGATAAGAAATGTTAAGAAATATGGTGCTCTGCTACTACAGAAAATACAATCATCAAAGAGCAACAATAGCGATCACGATATGTACACGCTTACACAAGCAGAAGATATTGCAGCAGCAGATCAATAATTTGTTCTATCACCGCGGCAGCCACGTGATTGATAGACGGTGAGTGTTCTTCCATTCAAACAACCCAAATATTAACATTAGTGCGTGTATATGTGCGTGTGTATCCACAATTATATATCCAATTCGTAATTCTCATGTGCTAAAAAAAGTACGGTACCTAAAATACCAGGAAAAGATGAAGAGTAGCAGCGAAAGCTCTCTTCCGGGCTCATCATCCCGTCAACTTTTGTACAAGGTGCTTCCTGTGATATGTGCCTCTCAGACAACTCTAGAATAACTCTGGGCTGAATCGAATGCACCCTTTAAGCGCCCGATTAGAGCTTAAATCAACCAAAAAAGGCAATTTCAGTCAATAGTAGCAAAATAAAGGGGAAATTCAATAAGGAACTACTTCACATGCATGTAATGACACCTCTATGCATAACATTCTCAATCTATACAACATTTCAAGACAAGTTCCTCTAAACAAACCTGACAGAGAACATTCATGGTGCTTTGTCCACCACTTTCGTCCAACAAGTTCACTTTGAATTTCTGTACCCAACCCTTCGCATCCTGTTGTGTGTCTACCTTCGGAACTGCTCTCACTACCTTCAGACCCGAATTCGATGATGGTCTTTCTTTCCCTGAGGAAGAAAAATATCCAATTGGCCTGCCAAAATCATCAAACCCAGACCAAGTTGAAGACTTTGGAGCCGTTCCCCGAGAGTTCCATACGGATCACTACTTCCCTTGTAAGCATAAACCCCTTCATTATTCCCATACGGGCTGTCGTTCGCATACCCACTATCCGCCCGTTTGCAATACATTTCGGCTCCCACGAACATATTTTCTCATGAAGAATAAGTAGCCTGAATATTCATTGTGCAAAAACCTGCAGCAGTTATAAGAGCTTCGTCAACCAATTCTGTATTTCATTCACAAAAAAAAAGAGAGAGAAACCAATATTAGTAACAATCCCCTTACTTACAAAATATCCCCTAGGGGCAAAGTGGTGTCGGAGGTTCGACTGCTCAGAGGACAGGTTCTGACGGTCGCTGCTGTTACTGTTGTTGGCACCGGAGCACTGGAGGTGGCGGCCAGGATGCTCGTAGTCAGCAGTCGATTAAATTCCACCCCCTATCCATCCACAGGCACAATTCATACATGAAAATTAACAATTTTCAGCAACTTACAGTGGAAACTAAATGCGAAAACAATACAACTACAACCATCTTCACAATGCTACGCTGCTAGAAACATTCCTCCTCAAATTTAGTCACCAATGAGAAAGAGAGTCAAAATTAAATACCTAAGATCAACCAACCACAGGGCTTCACGAAATCCAATACTAACACCATGCCATCAAACAAAGCCAAAATATAAAAAATGAAAAGAAACATGCCGACTGACTTACTCTGCAAAATTGACCTCACCATAACACAAATAAGCATAAATTCAAAAATAAAAGGAATTGAAAAATCAAACGGTTAAAATTCAACTACACCGAGAAGATAACTGATGGACAGGACCTCGGCCTGGGAGGACGATATGGCAACGTGTATGAGAGAGCGAGCGTTTTTGTTTCGAAGTGAGCTGGCTTTCAGGAGCTGCTGAAAACTGAAATATTGCCGAACTCCGCTGCCACAAACAGGTCCTTGTGCTTGATTAGATTCTGTGCTGAGAATCATCGTGCACTGTGTTTGTGTGTGTTGTGTACTTATGTGTAATATTAATGACAAAGGACATAAAACCAAATTTGGTGAAATTCTTGTAGCCATACAACCTAAATTGATTTTGATCACCAACATCAGCAAAATGGCACGAAAAACAGAAAAATGAACAGAGACGATATAATGTTGAACCCTAGAAAAACCACATAACAAAGTAAAGGGCCATAGGTTTCTTTACCTTGACAGAAACGTTAGAATGTTTCATCACTCTCGTCGTTAGGGTGTGGTAGTGTCGAGAAGAATCATTTTCTGCGAGTAGGACGGGCGGCGAGAGGAGATGAACGGAGTCTGGTTTGGGAAGGTGAGAAGTGAGAATCTGAGAGACTTCTCGACACAGCTAGACATGGCCATTTGCCGGGCCGAGTCGAAACCCGGCGGGTTGAGCCGGGTTCGGGCCGGGCCCGCCGGGTTTACGGATTTTTTATTTTTTATTTTATTTTAATGTATATTAATGTTTATTTGAATAAATAGTTTGTATATACTTAAAAATAAGTGTAAAGAAAAAAATTAATAATTGAATGGAGTTGAGCTTAGTTAACAGTTATTAAGTTCAAATATCGTGTACGATGAAAAATTTTGATGCCAAAAAATTATACTCGAACTTAATAATGTTAAATAAGGTGCCTACGTATCTCTTTATTTGGGAATTAAAGTCCACGTAGTTCTTCTAAATCACATACCTTGGCTGCATACCTTTAATACTCGTATTCGTCTTCGACGTCCCCCCCCCCCC